ACCTAACAACAACAACTATTAATATTTACTCACTGCCAGGCATTGTGTTGAGTGTTGAGCATGAATTATCTCATTGAATCCTTACAATAACCCTGTAAACCTTTTATCTGAGACACAGAGAAGTAAGTAAATAACACTATGAGTCGGAACTCCACAACATTTAACAACAACAAAGTGTTAAAGAGCAAAATGTCACTTTAAAGACTATGGTGTGCATGACCCAAATCATAGTGTTATCAGTCACCTCATATGCATACAAAAGCTGGGCAATGAGTAAAGAATACTGGAGAAGAATCGATGCATTTTAATTAAGGTGTTGGTCAAGAATATTGAACATACCATTCCATGCCATAGGAATGAACAGATCTGTTTAGGAAGAAGTTCAGCAGGATTGCTCCTTGGAAGCATTGATGGTGAGACTACGAGTCTTGTACTTTGAACACGTTGGCAGGAGAGACCAGTCCCTAGAGAAAGACATCATGCTTGGTAAAGTAGGAAAAAGAGAAAGATCCCCATTGACATGAATTGATACAGCAACAACAACAATGCTCTCAAACAACAATTGTGAGGATAGTGCAGGACCAGACAGTATTTCATTCTGTCATTCATATTAGTGAGAACTGACTTGACAGCACATACCAACTTCTTCTGTGTATCATCAGAACTGGATATTCCTCGGGTCTCTGTCTTCTCTCGGCGCTCAACATAACACTCTCTTCCATCCCCATGATCTCAGATCGCATCTTTTCCCGGGTCTTCCAGAATGCCACACACAACTGCTCACTGGGCATCTTTGCTTAAATGGAAATTGACAAATAAAGGACAGTGTCTGGAGTTAGACTGCTTGAGTTCAAAGTCTTGCTCTGACACTAACTAATGTCTGACACTTTCAGTCTTCGAGGGAGCAGAAAGCCTCATCTTTCTTCTGAGGAGTGACTGGTGGGCTCAAACTGTGGACGGTGTGGTTCACAGTCCAGTGATTTTCTTATGGAGCCCTGTACTTTAATACTTTAGGAGCTCTGGTAGTGTAGTGGTTACGAGTCGGGCTGCCAACCGCAAGGTCTGCAGTTCAAAACTACCAGCTGTTCTGTGAGAGAAAGATGAGGCGTTCTGCTCCCGTAAAGATTTACAGCCTCGGAAACCCTGTACAGGGTCACTATGAGTCAGAACCGACTCCATGGTACTTAACAACAACAACAACAACCTTAATCCTTTAAAGAGGTCTTTTGTAGCAGATTTGTCTAATGCAATACATCGTTTGATTTTTTTCCCTATTTAGTTTTTAAACTTTTAATTGTGAATTAAGTGAAGCTTTACTGAGCAGATCATCAGTTTTACATTCAACAAATCAAATATACTTTACTTCATTATAGTGATTGCAATCCCCTTTGTGTACCATTAGTTATCAGTTGTTGTTGTTGTTGTTATGTACGGTGCCTGCCGACTCATTGAGACCCTGCATAGGCTTTCCGAGGCTGTAAATCTTTACGGGAGCAGAAAACCTCATCTTTCTCCCGCAGAACAGCTGGTAGTTTCGAATGCTGACCCTAAGGTTAGCAGCCCGATTTGTAACCACTACGCTACCAGAGCTCCTTTAGTTATCAGTATTTCCTTCTATATATATATATAGTTGGATTCTACTGGCTAGGATTTTGTTGAATATTTTTGCATCTATGTTCATGAGGGATATTGGCCTATAATTTTGTTTTTTAGTGATGTATTTGCCTAATTTTGGTATCTAGATTATGCGTGCTTCATAAAATGA